TTTTCTGTTTGACTTGCATTGGTGAAGCCTTTTTGTGGTCGTTAAACCAGAGGCTTTTCCCCTCTTGTGCTAACAGTTCTATAGACGTTGTGACGCTTAGGATTAGTACGGCGGGCCCAGACACCGCCCGGCAAGCAGAAGCCACTCGGCGCTGCACTGAAGATATGACTTTCTTGCGATGGTATATCTGGAAAGTACATACCTGTTTACATTTCGACTCCATAAAGTAGTACATAAAGTGTGTTGTTGACATTAGGAGGTCTTCCAAGCCTATAATCTACTCATTGAGGATACAGTCTTGGCGAATTTTTTCGTGTTGTGCTCTATTTATATGGAGAATTTTAGCCTGGATTGAAGCTTTAGCTAAGGTGTTAACTACTTTTCTTATTTCTTGTCTTTGTTTTCCCGACAAAGATCTGTACGGCTGAGTGGAAGATCGACCTATTTCGGCAGCCGGTTCAAAAACGCCCTATTGCAGAATTTGGTTGAAAAACGCCCTATCTCAACAAATGGTATATATTGAATTACGAGATAAGTCGATCTTCCCCTCTGCTAACATACCGTACAAGTACCTTTCCGACAACCATACTGTGCAACGGACAAGCAATGCGTAGTTCGATATGGTGCCGTAAACGGTCACATATGATACGCTCCAGTAAATTACTTAAAGCATCAGTCATGCACAGAGGTCTATAAGAGCTTGCCTCCCCACTTGTTTGCCAGTCTTTGGGAGTAGGATCAGCCTCTTGCTTTTCCAACTACTCGGAAATATACCTTCTCGAAGGTATCCACTAAAACCTGCCGCTTTAATGGCAATATTTGGTATACCATGGGTGAGTGGCATACTCGGGCTGCCGCTAGTATCCTGATAGCGGATTCAATAGCTCCAATGGAGATGACTTACCAGGCTGCAATCGATTGCTGCTGCAAGGCTAGGTGTCAGTAACTTCTCTTGGAGCTTGCCTGCCGTGTTCAAGCACATGACGAGTGTTAAGCAAATGGTCCGCCCGAATTGCCTTTTCCTCCGCCGCTCTGTGCGCTTTGAGGCAGTGGCGATTTGTTTTTTTTTTAGCTCGCTGGCAGTGCGTCGAAGATCTTTCGACGTAAGGGGTGGACGTTGGGACAGTTTTCGTTTCTTCAGTCAGGTACACACCTCCCCGTTTTTTCATAACACGTTTGTAGCCAAGAATTCAATTAAGTTAAAGAAAAATACAGAACAAAACAAAAAATTTTACTCAAACTTTTGGTGGCATGTAGAAGGAAATGTTGCAAAGACTTTATTATTAAATGCCGTAATCTATGGCTGCTTTATGACTATTTATGCGCTTAGTGACCCACTTTGCAGGCTTATCAACTGATTGCATTTGCCCTATTTCTCTTGTGTGTATCGACCTCACAATAAAAGAGAAAGAAAGAAAAAAGGGCTAGTTCCCATTTTTGTATTTATTTTTTAATTGTTTAGATACCTAAACGCTTTGTAGGCACTTGAAATAAATCGGAGCAGATTTTTAAATTAAGCGAAGAGTTTTTCGAACCAAAATAACAAAAAAAAACACTTATACCAAAAGCTTTAATATCTCCTCAGCGTTTCGGAAAAAAATCATTTAAAAAATAAAAACCCGAAAACTTTGAACTTCAAATTCAGCCTGCTCTTAAACTTTTGCTCGGCCTCGACAAAAAAAAAATAAATTGAATTATTACAGTGGGTAGATTTTGCTAGCAGCTGGCCTATTGGCTGCGTCGTTGGCTCGTTTTGGCTGCGAAGAGTGTGGCACTTGCCTTGCGAAGCTAATATCTAGGCGACTGTTGACAGGTGCTATCAGCAAGAAATTGTAGGCAACAATAAACACATAAACATAGGTGTAAGCAATAAAAACGCGCACCTACATACATCTTACACACTACACACATACGCCCGCACACAAATACGAAATGTGATAACTCACTTGGTTCATTGACTCATTGGCGCGAAGTGGCAAAAGAACACAACGAATTGTTGGAAATTAACAAAAAAAAAGGTAGAAATAACATAAGGGACTTTAGAAGTGTATATAAACATATCACAACAATAATAGCCCAAGCGAAATTTTTGCAAAAGTAAAGCAAAGAAAATGACTTCACTCGTTTTCCTTTTAGTTTTCATTCAATTGTTTTCACGTACAACTGATTACTTTACAATCAAAAAAATGGTTACACACACAAGCACACATTTCTGTAAAAGCGCACTGCTTCACCGGCCGGTCGCGCCAACGCCAGCGCTTTGCCGGCCCGGCCCGGCCCGCATTGTCATAAAAGCGAGCAAAAGAAAAACAGAAAAAACCAATTCATTTTAATAACTGTTCTGCTTGTCAGCGCTAGTGTTAATTGTTGTTGTAATATACATATAAATATTTCTAGTTATTTACACATTTCATACGATATTGTGTTGATGGCACTAACGTCATACATATAATAAACAGTTAGCGCCAAAAATATGAATACCCTGACATTTTGACGATTTTATTTATTTATATTTTCCATACCCAATTTTTCTTAATTGTTTATAAAAATGTAATTCATTCAACAGCAAAAACCAGCAGAATAAATTTTTTCAATTTCATTTAGAACTCGGGGAAAATTAAAGATATACGAAAAAATTTTCATCACAATTTTCAACTTTTCAGTTCGATTTCTTAGATAAATTTTGAGTACGCAGTTTTGTAAATTATAGGTGCAAGTTTCAAGTCTCTAAAAATTGATTTTTGAGAATTTTTTCGTCAAGAGTGTTAAGCATTTTCTTCCATATTCCATATAACGCATGAACAATATCTATTTAAATTACTTATTCTTCTTCTTTTCTTTATTTTCTAAGACAGCGAATTGAAAAGTTGGAAATTTTTATGAGAATTTTTTCGTATCTATATCTTGAATTTTCCCGACTTCTATATGAAATGCTGCTGGTTTTTGCTGTTGAATGAATTATATTAAAAAAAAAAAGTAAGAAAAATTTGGTATGGAAAATATAAATAAATAAAATCGTCAAAACGTTAAGGTATTCATATTTTTGACGCTGACTGTACACGTATGTATGCACTCATATAACCTTACCAGCGAATTGATTGATAGTGGCACATACGTTGACAGGGCCAGGCATGATTATTATTATTTCAAAAATAAACAATCATACCTAAAGGGGAAAAAAACGTGAAAAAATACGCGTACATATAAGCTTTTATATATAAATGTACATTTTTATGTATTATATTTATACCTAGTTTTTAGCCCAGAGCCTACCCCACACCTTATACACTCTACGACTTTTCTACTCTACGACTTTTTATTTGAATTGCGCTACTCCTGCTATTACCTACTCGTAATTAGGTTGACTAGGGATTATTGTTGTTATCAGTGAAGTACAAAGTGCTTATGGGGCACTTATACTCTTAGTACCCTAGAGTTCTAAATTTCATTAATTGTGTCACTCACTTATCAGCCAACAACAATGTTGCAAACTCTGTTCGATATCGCAGAGCTAGTGACCATAAAATTATTTTAGAAAGTAAAAGTTTTTTGTATAGGAGAGGCAGAAAAAAATAAAAAAAGTGATGGGTAGTAAAGCTGGATTCGATATAGTAGAAATATACATATAAAGCAAATAGATTGTAGAGTTGCAAGTTGACTTCTCCACAATGCGTATTTAGATAATTCGAATGGAAAAAATAGCGACAAAGTTGAAACTTAGAACTCAGTTAATAATACCGGAAAAGGTTTCAAGACGACTCAAGTGCTATGAGCCGATCAAACGTGGTGCCTTATAATTAGAGTTCTTCAGACTTCAGTTCAGTACTCATAAAAAGGTTAGCATTGCCGGAAAATCCACTGAGAGAGCGACGGAAATTGTACGAGGAAAGGTTTTTCGAAAGCAACTGAGCGCAACCTTTTTCTAATTTTAAATCTACCTGGCAATGTAGACCGCGAACTGGAATACATACCTTCCTCAACTTGTATCGGTGTTTTACGTGGGTACCTGCCATGAAGGCCTAACCCTCAAAAGCACAATGGATCAATTCCAATGGCAGTGTGGGATGGGCACTTTAACCATCTTGGTTGGGCTCGAAGCCTATCTAAAGCCTCTACCGTTCTTTGGGTTCCGACACCCGGTTTGAATGCAACTCCACATCGAACCAACCAAAGCCGGTTCTACCCGCATTTGGGTGTTAAACCACAGCCACTACGAATACTCCCCGAGAGGTCGTACTCAGGAACAGACGGGAATAATGCTCAACTCGCTCGACTTGCTCAACTTGCTTCCAGTTGCGCAACTTGCATACTCATCTTCCTTTCTTCCTGTGCTGCCTCCCTTACCAGAGACAACTTCTCCTCAACATGCACACTCCACTTCCATTCTTTCTGTGTTGTTTCTCTTACCTAAAATCTACGTTCTTTGAGGCTTGCCACTTCAGCGAAAACTACAAATTTTAATTTTTATTAATCTTTTTTTTTTAGTATAGTATAAAATTTTCAGTCTAGTTGGTTTGAATCGCTCGGCGAAAGGAAGTATTTCTACTTTTTTACTCTGTAAACTATACAAATAGTTTTTATTCAAAAACGACCTATCTGTCTATAAAGCGAATTTACAAAAAGTCAATTAAAATATATTTCACACACGCGCGCGCATGTTATATAGCACGTGTGTACTTTTCCGTCCAATTCAACATACCAAGAGTTGCAGAAGCTCACCACACAATTTGAGCAAAGTCGCAAACCTAACTGTAATAAAGATGCACTGTAAAGTTTCCCCAACATACGGAGCTTTCATCGCCGTAAGAATGCATAAATATTACAGCTCACTGTTAACTCAACAGCGCAGCAAGAATTTAACGGAAGGGCTGTAAATGTTTTCAATTGAAAAATTAATTCAATCAACTGTTAAAATTCACTTAACATTCCCACTAGCATTCTGTTATTGCCTATTTTCCGGCCAAGACTGTTATTAACATGCATTTTTTTTTCTTTTTCAGCAACTTAACAATGCCGACTTCACCATCGACGACACCTTCGACATTGACCAGTTTGATGAAACACCCGCCACCAACGTCGCCGCTGCCAGTTCAAATGTGGCAGTGGCACGCAGCACGCGCGATCTCGACTCCCAATCTCTGCTCGAGGACGAACTACAGCCGGTCGCGGCCGAGGAGGATGCCGACGCCGACAGTTGGTTGATACAGGGTGTCAAGCGTGTGCGTCGCGAGCTTAGCCGCATCTTCGGCAAGGCGGAGGACAAGTCAGCCAAGCATTCGCATCACCGACGCGGCCATGGCGAAGGCGGCAAGGAAGCGCACAACAAGCATTCGAAGCACAAGGTGCACAGCGCTGGTGAAGGCAAGAAGCATCGCAACAAGCTTCAGCTGCATGGCAAGCACCGCGCCGGAAAACTGTTGCTCCAACGCCAACAGTCAGCGCAGGATATTGAGCACGAGGCGGCAGAGCATGTAGGAACCGCGAAGCAGCAGAAGAAGCTGGCGAAAAAACACTCGAAACGACAGAGCGACTACGATGGTTCCGGTGATGGTGATGAGGATTTCGGTGCCGCGCCTATGGCATTGTGTGAGTGCAAGTTGTTGTTGGGACTTGGCGCAACTGTTGCTAATGCATTTTTATTTATTTTCTCTTTTTTAGGGCGCACACAATTCATCATCAACGAGCCATGGAAAATTGCCTATTCCGACCAAAAGAGCACCGAATTTCTCGAACTGCACCGCCAATTGGAGATCTCTTTCCGCGAACTCTTCCATGGCACACACAATGATGAGGACCTTGACATCAGCCCGACCTTGTTGGCCGTACTGTGAGTAAACTAAGCGCACAAGATAGCAGCCTGAATGTAAACTTCATTTCTACTCTTGTCTTTCAACAGTCCACACAATGACAGCTACAAAATCTATGTGATCGTGCAGCTGGAACTGCCCGAAGAGGTCACAGATTTCGGAGAAGTGTTTGCCAATCAAATTGCTCGCTACCATCGTTTGGGCAGCTTGGGCGCCGACACTGACAGTCGCTACTATTTCAGACTTGTTCGCGGTAAGTGTGTTTGGGTCGGTAGATGCGCCACATTAGGAAGTAAGGACTGCTCGGCAGTTCTGTGAAAGCTCACCGCAGGTCTTGTAATTCTTTCTAGCGGGTTCTTCGTAGTTCAAATTTCTGCTATTTGATAAACTTATAGAGTTTTCTCTGGAAGTTTTGAGCCGTGGTAATTTCTATGATTAACAAAACAGCCGAAAAGTGTTTGTTTGGCTGAAATGTTTTGAAGCAAAGGTCGGTAGTCTTTTGCTTCGTTTTATACCTAACCTCTATGGGACCCCACTCCCCTTACTCTGACCTCCTAACTTTTTCGCCTTCTTACTTACCGTATGTAGTTGTTGAAATTGGTTTTTAGAATTGTTTAACAGTGACTTTACTTTTTCCAAAACACGTAACATTGAGCCTGGTACTCAAAAATTTATGTCTATTTCGTGAAGATTTAAAAAATTGAATAGGGTATAAAAAAAGGAACCCAAAAGAAATTCTGCTCTCAAGTAGAGGAGAATTTATGCATTTTTTGTAACGGTGTAGGGGGCTAAAACCGAGTCAACTTCATTTGAGTCATCTTCATTTTTGGTTCAAAGCCATTGACATCAACACAAATTTCTCTTCTCCTCACCATCATCCAAAGTTTTCACTAAATCCGCCTTGAACTTTCGTCATTAGACATCAGTGAGCCAATCGATTACGAGTATGAGCGCGAAAATGGCGGCGAGTTTAATGCAGAAGACAACGGTGCCGATGGCGGTTTCGGGGCTGAGGAAGAAGAAGACAACGGTGTTATCGATGAGGCCACACCCGCGTACCAGTACGATTGTGATCACAACCCGAATGGCCAATTCCAGTGCTCAGATGGTTCACTAATAGCTTGCACTGAACACTGCAACCGCTACCCCGATTGTGCGGATGGCTCTGACGAAGACGCTGATTTATGTGGCCCGATCTATGAGGAAGAAGATCGCCGTCAGGCAGAACAAGATGCGCGTCAGCGTGCCGAAGAAGAGGAACGAAGACGTGATGAGGAGCATCGCCGAGCTTTAGAAGCAGAAGCACGCCGTCACGCTGAGGAAGAAGATGAAGCGTTACGTTTGGCGGAACGAGAAGAAGATGAGCGCCGACGTGCTGAAGAGGAACATCGTCGTCGCTTAGAACAATTAGATGAAGAACGCCGACGCGTCGAAGCAGAGCAAGGCGAAAGTATCAATTCCGTACAGCCAACCAAAGATGATGATGCGGATGAACTAGAAGAAGAGGAGCGCCGTAGGGCTGAACAAGAGGAAGAAGAAGAGCGGCATCGCGCTGAACAAGAAAAACAAGAGCGCCTTCGTGCCGAGCAAGAGGAAGAAGAAGAGCGACGTCGCGCTGAACAAGAAGAACAGGAGCGCCGCCGTGTCGAGCAAGAGGAAGAAGAGCGACGTCGCGCTGAGTATGAAGAGCGTCGTCATGCTGAAGATGAACGTCTACGTGCTGAAGAAGAAGAAGCTGAACGCCGTCGCGCTGAATACGAAAGTGGCCGAGGTAGCGTCTATGCGCCGACTAAAGTCCGCAAATCAATAATTTTTTAGTACTCATTGAAGCAAGCTTTTCTAGACCTAAGTGCTTAACATATTACTGAAAAAGAGCAACGCTTAGCGGCCTAGCTCCAATGTTGACTGCAATGCGGCTGTAAAAAACGCTTTATTAACATAGAACGCGCTAACTAATTACCGGGTTATTTTGTATTTATAGCTAAAAGCTAACCAAACTAACTTATAAACTAACCGTTATAAATAATTGGAAAAGCTGATATTGCGTTTTATAAGTGATAACAGCAAAGGGGCTTAGGATACTAACGGTCGTTAACTTAAACTTTTTTCCTCTTTCTATTTGACGACTTTTTGTAACTGGAGCTTTCACTCACAAATATAGCTTTCGCTAGAGCTTTCATCAGTTACCTTAGCGCAAGTTTCAAACTGGGTCTGTTGTCCCTTCAAAAATAGAGCTTTCGTGTGCCGAGCTTTTTAAAGCTATCTTTATGTAGACGTGAGAGGAGTAACAGGTCTCTTACCCATTACTTCTTTCAATCAATAATGGTCATCTACGGATACTACTCTGTGCACGTCTATATAAAGTGTACAAAAAGCTCACTCAAGCCGATGCCAGTTTGAGTCATATCTTCTTCGCTTACTAAAGCTCATTCAAAGCTTTCAGGTGTAATTAACTTTCGAAAACTTAACCCTTAACAATATGGTCGGTACAATCCCAATGCAATGGGAACTTTGGCGTCTCTTAAAGCTCAACAAAGTTTATTTTAAAGCTTTACCTAACTTTTACTTATCTTTGGTTAATATTTTACTTATTAGTTATTTAATTTATTCTTTCGTTATTATTTTACTCAGCTCGATATTCATCTAAATCAATACACATACATACACTAAAACATTACTCGGGTTCAATAAAATTGCAATGCTTTTTACTTGCTCACATCCCCAAACATCACATTCAGTGCTTTTCTTCAGTCGGAATCATCGTTTAATTGGTTTTATAAAAGTTTCATAAAATTATATACAGAAGCGCTCTCATTAACATGCTCATCTCTGCACCTCACTCCCTCATACCCAAATTTTTCACATCCTGTCTCTGACCCGAACTCATTCCTCAAAACACTGAGCTAATCTACCCGCCTACCATTTTCTTTCACCACTCTTTCACATTTTGTCCTCAATCACCCATTTATGTGTCGCTCTCCATTACTCTGTGATCGTCTATTCCAAACTGTGTCATCTGTGTGTGTTCGTATTTAGTTTCCTCTGTATTTCCTACGTTACAAACGCTTACTACCGCTCTTCACCTTTATGTGTTGTGTGTTGGGTGAAATAAATTACCCCTTGTTTTTACTTACATAGTTTTTATGTCTCCTCTGTGCTCGCACGCTCTTTGTACGCTTTACCAACGCGCGATTTACCTTGTAATCCGACGTCTGTCGGCAAAGTGGATATTTTCAATTTCTCTCTGATTAGCATTTTCCAATTTCGCTTTGATAACTGCAGACAACTACAACGTCATACAACCATGGCAGCCCCAACCCACCGAGGAACCCGAAGACGTTTCTCATATCACACCAGACTTTGATGAGGGTTCTGGCGACAATGGGCATGGCATATCGACCGATCGTTCCACGCTCTTCACACCGTTCGGTTGCCGTGGTGACGCTTCGTTCACCTGCTCCGAAAGCGGTGTGCAGATCTGTGACGAGCAGCGCTGTGACGACCACGAAGACTGTCCCGACGGAGAAGACGAAGTTGGCTGCTCAGAGGATGAACCTGTCGATGGAGGCGAAGGCGAGGGCGATGAATATGAAAAGGGTATAATTTTGTATGTGTGTGTGCGTGGCGTCACATCAGCGCATTCAAACAAACTCCAGAAAAATAAATGTCCTCAAATAATTGTGCCCCTTTATGAAAGTAACAGAAACCCCCAATCCTTTTCCCGAACCCCAAAATCTGTGTCCCCACTACACCACTACACACAAACCATTTACAATAAGTTGCTGTAGCTCATCTGTGTTGTCCTTAGCATAAATACGTAGCCTGTTTGCTAGGGTTGCCAAGTGAATATTAGCGAAAATTATAAAATTAAGACACTCAGTCCTTGAACTCTTCCAAATTTTCTGGCATTAAACTTTGGCAACCGAAAAAGTAGCAAAAACTAAAAGTTAGAGAATTTAAAATGCGTCAACTGTAAAAATTCCGAACTTCAGAATCGTCGCACTTTTGCATAGTGTATAAAATTAAAAGTATTCCTTAGAAATTAAAAAAAAAATATATATTAATACTAACCAATGTGACCAAAGTACAAATTTGCAAATTTTATTTTTTAAATATTTAAAAATTTCACTGTAAATATTTTCGTGCAATTAGTTAAATTTTTTATATATTCAGTTTCTTTTGTATTTTTTTATATTTCTCATTTGTACATTTTCATCTCAGTTTGTCTGTACGAGAGTCGCAATTTTTTCTCTCTCTCTCTCTCTCTAACCACATCATGAATGAACCTATTAACCGCCGACTGTTTTGTGACTTCGTTTACTAATCGTTACTTACCCGAATGTTTTCAGTTTGTGCTGAATACGAATTTAAATGTGATGAACGTTGTTTGCCCCGTGAATACCTGTGTAATGGCGCACGTGAATGTCTCGACGGCAGCGATGAGGCGAACTGCCCGACAGAGGAAGAACAGGGTAAGTGAGGTCCTTCTATGTATTGTGAATATGTGTAGTATATTTTTTCATTATGGCTGCGTTTCTTTATACATTCCGGATAATCCCATTTCACAGCCGGAATAAAAAGAATGCGTTTGAAATATACGTCAACATATCATCAGGAATGTTCTAAAGAATAAATAAACAAAAAAGTTTATTCCAAACGTTCAGAATGAATAAAGAAATGCAGCCTATATGTTTTGTGTTATTCTTCTGATAACAAGAAAACTTATTCCGACCTATCCACAGTGTTGATTAAATTCAGACATTCTTACGTTATCGAAATATCAGAAAGTATTATTTTAGTGGGCCAAACTACATATGTAACTACCATTACCACACCAAATGCTCTCTTAGTCTTATTAAGAAGTAATATTTGTCATTTTAAATAGCGGAAACCATACCGATTTCGATAACGATATCATAATTATATCGATAAAAAATCGATAAGGATGTTGATAATGTATCGATAACGATAAAGATAAGTTTATCGACAACCGATAATATCAGTTATTCCTTTTAGGGCCAAATTCACAGTGCGTAGTTAACCACTGATAAGAGTTTAACTATTGATTTTCATATTCACAACGCTCAGTTAACAAAAGTTTAAACCAGCATGTCCCCATAGCTAAACTCTTGTGAAATAATTTTTTTTGTGGAACGAATTTCAAATTTGAATAGAAAAGTATTGATTTTAAGAATTTGTATATTTTCAGGCGATACGAATTTCCATAGTTAACTATGTGACTCTGAATATAAATTCATAATTAAACTCTTGTTGGTGGTTAAGTTAACAATGGTTTAACTAAACACTGTGAATTCGGCCCTTAGAGGATGTCAGCTGCGACCACAGATTTATTGTGCTTTAATAATTCATCACAACTCGTCTAACCCGAAGTTCCGAGTGATACTAAAATTGTTCTGGGACGGCGAAGAGCGAATGTACGTTGCCATCGTTCTAATTTCGTGAGGTTTCGTGGCCTACCATAGCCGGCCCGACAATAAAAATTGAGCAATACCTGCAAAATATTTAGTGATATAAATACAGTGCATAAATACAATTTATTTTACTGATTTCACTTGTATGAATTTCTAAATAAAATTGCTGGTGGCAAAATCTGGTCATTACGCATATTTTTGCAGCTAAAAGTAATGTACGAAAATAGTTCAATGTGCAAGGAGAAATTATGCAAAAAATTTAGAAATGTAAAATTTACCAAACATCTGGAAACTTTGAAAGGCTATTTATAAAAGCATGCAATGCAAAATATAGAAACACACGAACGATTTCTTGATTTTGCGCAATATTAGAAAATACACGAATTTTTCGCATAAATCCAAAAAAAAAAAAATACAAAATGCAGTCAACAAAGCGTAGCGAAGCATGTCAATTCAAATGGCAGTAGAAATGCGGCACAAGTGAATTATTCAATTCATTTTCAAATAGAGGACACGAAAATTTGCGAGCTTAATGACTGACTATATCAAAAAAAAATAAATAAAAATTGTATAGAAAAAATTAAAAAAAAAAAATCGTTTAAATCCTATCAATCATTCGTGGTGAAAAAGTGTAACACCAAATTACAAATACGCGTGAACTCATAACTACAACAAGCAAATATTTAAACTACAAACTTACACCCACACATTACCCAACTATATTACATACATACTATATATGTATATCTACTTCTATGTATACATACATACATCTGTACGTAGGACAAGTATTTATGCTGGCTTATATCATAAAATCAAACTGCATTGTGTGATGATAAAAACAAAATTTGTAGCAGATTAAAATTACACGCTTACTTTTGATATGCATGTATGTATGTATGTATGTATGTACATATGTAAACCCTCAGCCCTCCACCTCCTGCGCCAAAACGCCTCCAACTACTGGTGTCGAGTGGCGAGTGTCGAAAGTTGAATTCCATTTCAGCAATCACACCCAGTGGGCAGGATCTGTCCCAGCTAGTGGCTTAAGGAGCAGCGAGCGTTCTATGTTTGTGTGGCTATATATGTATGTTCGTGTGTGCAAGCACTGTGTATGGGCGTGTTGCTTGCTTTGTCGCTTTGTTGCTTTATTTTCCGACTTTTTCGTCGTTTCGTTGGTCGTGTCCTTGCTTGTTGACACTCACTTTCATTTGTTGCAAGCAAAGTTGTTGGCTTTGTGGGTGGATTTGTAAACTTTCCCGCAGAGATTTATCTGCATGCTGTGTACTTTAGCGAAACAGAAAGTGTCAAAAAAGTGAGTGAAAATAGCAATTGAAAATGTGTTTTTTGGCAGATTTAAAATTTTCAACTAACTCCTAATGAGTGAATATCAAAACAAAAAACAAAAAAAAATGAGGTTGTGGCATACTAAGAGGCACTTGAAATAACGATGTAGTAGCAAGCATGAATAAGAAGATGTAAAGCGGCCCTTCAAGGCACTGGAAACGCTGGTTCTGCCCCAAATTTGTACATTTATTTGTGTCCTATAGACTGGGTTACAAATAAATATTTTGTAAAAGTCCTCTCGACGGCAGCTTTTAAACAAGTAAAAACTTGTTTCCTTTTTTTTCATATGCGATCGCCCCAGTCCAAAGTTCTAATATAGGTTCAGAGTTTAGTATTATAGGCTCAAGTTTAGAGAGAAACGCCAGATATATCCGCGACCTCAAATGTGTTTGTATAATAAGATTTTCCAAATTCCTTTTTGTCTTAAAAGAGTAGGTCGTATGCTCTTCGATGACAAACCAAGAGAAACATAGTCCTCCGTGCAAACATACATATGTATAAATATCATAGACATCTCCTGTCCGAGGAAAGTAGATTTACAGGCCAATTGTGGCAGCTGTCTTTTAACTCAGCACAGTCTTCCGAAAGACAAACGAGGAGGTCTTAGCTATATGCTTTTCGCCTTTTAGCAATCAGTTTTTTTTAATTAAATTAAATTTTTTTTTTCCTTTTAAAACAATAAAAATTAATAATAGCAATCAGTTACTGCTGCATGCATATGTCAATAATACCCGACCCTACCCTCAGCCCATTTCTGCAAATAATTTTTTATTTTTTTTTTGAAACATTGCAAATATTTTTTGCGACAACACTTCATAACAACTTTATTGCATTCGAACACTTTGTTTTGATTAAATTTTTAGCAAGAGAGCAATTTTAAAAGTAATGAGTTTTCGCACTTTCGCTAGACAAATAAGCATCGCTCTTCGTTTTTACATGCCAAAGTAAAACACTCCCAGCGGACAAATTCGCACACACACGCCTTCTTGGCAGAGACGAAACGCAAAAAACAAGCACCCACAAAACACTATAAAATAGTAGCATACATATGTTTTGAATGCGCGTTACAATAAATTTTGTGGCAAGTGCGAAAGTGTAAAATTAATATTTTGCACAATTTTGCACTTGTTTTTTCTTTCAATTTTCAATGGTAAAATTTTCATTACAGAAAATTTACATACAAAATGGCAAAAAGTGCTGTTGCAAGTTTAAGTGTTCGAGTTTATAGCTGCATAACGGTGCATTGTAATTGATTTCATCGCTTTTGCTAAGAGTTTTTATTGCTTTATTGTGGAATTTAAATAGAAAATTCTGTTTAGAAGCAAATCGCTTCGTTGGGGCACCAATATATTTTTACATTGCAGATGATGCATTCAGTTGCATGGGCTTCTTAATGCATTCTGAGCGTGAAACTTTCGATTTTGCGTTTTTCACGCGCAATAAATTTGGTAAATATTCGCAGTTGCAACAATGCGCTGGCATGCCACCATAATGTGGTAAGTTTCACATAGCATAAATAGCACAGAATTGGTGTTGCAAGCACTTAAATGTGATTGCTCAAGTATTCTTCCGAAGCTCATTTTGAAATGAAGCCACCGAATATTATTCCAAAATAATTTTCTTCGAACCACATTTATTGGATAACTAGAATCCATGCAACAGTTGCCTTCCTTTCAACAGGCAATCACTCACGCTATTTGGCAGCATCAACACCAACCAACACCTGTGCGCCGCACACAGCACGTGCTATGGCAGTCGCGCGCCAGCCGGCTTTTGTTTACCAAATCGACGCTTGACGCCGCGCGCAGCCAACTTCAGCCTTCGATGCTGCTACACTTCGGCCACTTCCGGCGTCAATCAGCAGCGTACAGCAAAAGTTAGGTTCTGCTAACAACAACATTGCCTTAGCAGCGCCGCTGTGCGCTCTGTTAGGGTGCTGTAAACGTTAGCTGCTCTGCTGCGCCACTAAACAACCTGAAAGCGTCGTCGACTGGCAGCGGGCCTCGGCTGGGCGCTGCTGGTCGTGCGCGCACGAACGCTGGAGTTTTCCGCTGTCGGCGCTGTGTCATTACGATTTTCATTGCTGCCACGCGCTGCGCCGTGCTTTGTTGTTTGCTTCACAACGAGTTTGTTTGGCTTTGCCTTTGATTAGCTCTGGCGCTGACTTTGGCATCGCAGCATTTGCAAAGCGTTGACTTTTCTGGATCAACACGAACGCCTCGTCGCAGTGTGGCATTTTCAAATGTTTCAGTCCAACTGCAGACGTGAGCTCGTGCGAAAGCTTCGTGCGCTGAAAACGCTAAAAACACTTTTGTGCCGGCTACACTGAATATTCTTTTAAAGCAAAGAAAATTACAGAGACTTGTTGGCGCGGATGTTAAAAACAAAAAATAAACCTTTGAAAAAGTTCCAAAAAAATATTACAAAAATAGTGAAAAAATTGCCGAAAATTCTTTAAATCGTTGACTGTGGTAATTTTTCTATAATTTTTTAAGAAAAAGTTTCAAGGATGCCGCAAACCCATATCCTTTGAAACGCTTTCTAAAAACAGAAGAAAAAACAAGAAACTCGAAAAAATATAAACAAAATACATATTTTTCTGCCAAGTGTAAGAAAGCAACGAAAAAATGCATTTAAATGACATTCGCTAAATGACAGTCGAACATTTTCAACGTTTCCGATTTGTTGCATGC